CGTAACTCTACAAAGTTGGTTTTGCTATCTCTCTATTATGGGTGAGAAACGAGATGCTCAAAGAGAGTAAGCCATTTGCCTAAAGCCTCAAAGTTAGTGAGTGCTGGAGGCCAAATTTTAATCCACGTCTATTTGATTCCAAAGCTCATGCACTTAATTATTGCCCCAGCATAACAGGTCAAGCACTGATGCAAGACATTAGAGAGCAAGCAACCCACGGTTGGCCTCAGAGAGCAGTGAAGTACCATATTTATCTCTCATAAAGTGAGGGAATTACTTGATTTGGCTTAGCATAATACCTCTCTCAAGAATACACAGCTGTATTCTTTCTCTATAGTATTTACATGCATCTTTCATGTGAGCTATGACTTGACTTATAAATTTCATTTACCCCATTGATTGATTTAGTCAATACTCTGCAAAATTTAATCTCAAAAATTAATTTAAAAATAATATTCTGTTTTCCTTTCTTTTACTCCCTTCCTTTGTCTCTCTGATAAAATTATAGAAAAGATGAATTTTTATTACAGTTCTTTGTCCAAACAGTTCATACAAAGCCTGACAGCTCTTTAATAAACTCCTGATGGGTGAGTAGGTACCCACAGGAAATAATGCAGGCCGCACGTTGACATGCAAAGGCAGAGAACCACACAGCCCGCCTGGGTCTGGCAGTTGGGTGTGCCTTGAGCTTAGCATAGGACATGAAGGGAGCTGAGACTGGAATGTTAAGATGTGCCAAAAAATATAGAACTATACTAAAACAAAACGAAACTTTTGGCTTCCTTATATAGGCAGCAGGGAGCCACTAAAGATGTTTTGAAATAGAGTGACATGACGTAATTTGTATATTAGAAATATAATTGGTGGCAAGATATAGGATTGGGATTTGAGAAAAGCAAGAGGAAGCAGGGAAATAGGTTAGAAGTTATGTAATCTATTAGTAGTAACAGCCAGGTAACAGGTAATGAGGTGCAGAATTAAGGCAATGGAAGAGTGTACTGAGAAAAGGGCATAGATTTAAAAGTTGTTCCAGAGACAGAAGACACAGCATTTAGTTTCTGATGGAATGGGAGGGAATCAGAGAGAGTTTGATTCAGGATGTCTGGCTAGGATACTGACTGGAAGAGGATGTCATGAACCTAGATGGGCAGCAAGGGAAGATTTGTGAGAGAAAAAGTAAGTTCCATTTTTCATCTAAGTTTGAAGATTCCTGGGGACCTTTGGATAAGTGTCTAGAAATATATATCTAGAGTTTTAGACAAATGTGCAGAAAAGAGAGGACAAGTTGAATTTATCCTATACAATAAAAGGCCAGGGACCATAAGTATAATGACCACAACAACAACTTGACCAGTTGCCATGAGTTGCATTGACCACCTCTCAGTCCCTACATCTTCCCCCCCACCCATGAGTGGCAGTGGGCAGGGTGGGGGTGGGGGGTAGAGCAATGAGTGTCAGCAGGTCTGTGAGCTATGAAGGGTGGGCAGGGTGACAAGCAGCAAGTGGCAGCAAGCTACTCTTGCATGATTTCATGCACTGAGCCTCTAATAAAGTAATATTTTCTCAGAGGCTCCTAGCACCCATGGGAATTTTCCGAAACACCTCTAGCAACACATCTGGGTTTCAGTTTTTTCTGTTGTAAAAATATAATAATAATAATAATAGTAATGATAATATTTGCCACTTGCTCTACCTAACTCAAATGATTCTGAAAGGGATTGAATGATCTCTTAGTGAAGTTACTTTTAATATTAAATTGCTATACTATGTTAGTAATATTCATTTGGAAAACCAGAAATATGACTAACTACAGGTAATAACAGTAGACAGTCTGACCCATTCTATCCCTCTCATATGCAAATGTGCCAAATGAAACAGCTCATCTTTTTATTTAATTAGAGCCACTCTCTATGCAATGATATAGGACTTTAGCTCATAGAGCAAAATCTCTTTTGATTTTTAAATGCATGGAATTTAAAGAGAAAGTAAATTTTTAAAAAGATTTTCCCCAGGCAACTAAACAACTAGCTGGACTTTCTTCTTTTTTATACCCAAATATCGCTACTGTGGTGGGGCGAGAGGGAAGGTCAAAGAAAGAAAAGCTCATAAAATTATGAGTTTGCATTGCATCCTGCTTTGGCTATGAACCACTGATTATGATGAATGGGTTGGTGTCCAGAATCTTTATATTCAGAGTTTGCTGATTACTTGTTTGCACCAAGGGACACACGATCTTCTGAAAACCTTGTTTTTCCCTCCAAATCACGAATTCTTGGAACTATGATAATAGATAATTTTACTGAAAGAATCAGACCAGTTAGCAGAAGCATAGTGGTGATTTGGGGTTATATATTCTGCTAGGTAGCATGCTATTTTTGAATTACCTACAATTACTGTAGCTTCACAATATTATCTATAAGAGAGTATTTTCCTTCCTTTCATTTTCTGCCTCTATCATACCATTGTTAGCACCACAATGGAGAAACCCTAAAAAGCTATTCATGAGAATCATTTAAACATGCACTTGTGCTCTTAGATACAGCTACACTTGCAGATCTCCCCCACCTCATATTCAAAAGCACCCACACTTATCTGGTCTCTTTTTCTACATTCTCCCAAAAAAAGGGGGGGGGAGGGGATGTATTCCATGTGTAAAAATAAGCTATTGTATCTCAGAAAGGAGATGGGATGCTAATTAAGAGTTCTTTGAGTGAACAAGTCATATCGCATTGTCTTCTGGGAGCTGGCTGCCAATTTCGTTTTTTGGTAAAGAGTAAAGAAAAATATTCAAGAGGGCCCCCGCAAGCTTGGGAGAGAAGCAAGTAGTACTTCCATTTATCAAGTAGGTGCACAAGCCTGTTCTAGTATTGCTGAGTGGCAGGGTGCAGGCTGAGAGCTCCTGCCTCGAAGTTTTTCCTGCCGGTTTTGGGAACCGCCTCCCCGAAGAGAGGCCGGCTGCTCAGATCTGATGGTGGACAATGCAGCTCATAGACCCTACTGCTGGACCACTGAATGCCCCTTTCTTTTCCACTACTTTCCCCCCAAGATTCTTTGTCTCTTCTTGGATTCATCCAGGAGGCAGGGGTTTTGAGATATACAATAGCTTGGGTCTTGCAGTTGAAATAATTGATGCTCCATTGAAAGACACCGGGCAAATTGGTTAGTATGATTATCTTTAACAAGCTGGGGAAATTTGAGGCATTTGACAACTCATTAATGAGGAGGGAAATAAATTGCTCTATTTTTAAAAGGGTTTCTCTTCTTCCACCCTCACCCCTCCTTTCCCCCCTTTAATGTTAATGTGATGTCAGCCAAAGGGAGCCTCTAGCCTGATTGCCTGACAATCCTGGGTGTGGGGCGGCCTGTAAACAGAGGTGAAATGATTTACTTGGTCTGGAAAGGGACCAGAGCACAGAGGATGCAAATGTGTTTTTATTATAACGGATGAGAGGTCCAGTGAGTCAACCAGGTAAAGTGACTTTCTTCGTGACTCTGTCTTTGGAATGATTAGTGCTTAGCATGATGGAATCCAGGAGGTGTGTTTCTGATACTTCACATGTCTTTTCCTGTAGTTCTGTAATGATGTGATGCTTTTACGGCTTTGTTGCATTTTAAGTTCTTAATTTTTTCAAGTGTGATCATATTCCTCGGCATATGTGTGAGGACACAAGTGTCTTGAACACTAAAAGGTGCTGCTGGCAGGCCAGCAGGTGAAGGCGTTTCCCTTATAAATGTGCGTGTGTGTTTGAGAGGAAATTAGTGCTATCTAAACAATGCTTCTCTGATGAACATTGCATCCCTGGCAACTGCAATCAAGCATCAACTGTCCCACTTGACATTCTTAATGACTAAAATATGTGGCAAAAAAAAAATGCAATAGGTCTTTTGCTGTTGGTTACGAGGTGAAATAATAAATGATATGTGTGCTTAAATCTAATTTCATAGTTTTCTTTTAATAATATAACTTAGACATAATACCATAAAATTTAATGCCGGATGTAATTCATAATTAATGACCTAACCACTTTCTATGGAAGCTATAAAGCCCAGTCATTGTAAGAACAGAACACTAATAATAATAAATAATAAGAATAATGACAACAGTAACAGATTCTGAGTGCTTTTTCTTTGCCTGGCTTGGTTGTAAGTGCTTCCCACAGAGTAAATCGTGAAGAAACTGAGGCCAGAGAGATTGAGTATCTTGCTGACAGATTCACAGCAAATAATAAGTAGATTATTCACCAAAAGGTGAGCCGAGGCTCTCTGACCCAAAGCCTGCACCTGAACCACAATATTATATTGCCTTGTTTGTACTATGATTGCTATTAAACCCTTCAAAGAGCATCCATTATAAAAATATTTAAAGTAACTTTGTTAGCCACCCATTGTAATGGACCCCCTCGGTGGAATGACCGTTGGTCCTGAAAAATATGCTCTCGTACAGGCATCACTTGTCCGTGCCGCTGCCCCCCATACAAGGGGAACGCCACCCTGTGGCATCTAACCCATTGCAGGTGCTCAGGAGACACTGCCACTCGATGGAGCAGGGAAATGTGGCTTGCCTTCACAATCACGAGAGAACACTTCTTTCATTTCTAGTCATTACATGGTCAATTCTAATATGTGGATATTAATCTCTCAATTCCTAATTAAGTTTTTAGTTTGTTCTTAATTTCTCTGTGGGATTTTGGGAAATTCTATCTTTATTTTTTGGTATGGGATTAACAGCAATAGTGTTTGCCAAGAACATGCAAAACATGATGCTTTATTTTTTTAAAAAAAACAACAACAACCTTTTTGAGATGTAATTGACATGCTGTAAAAATCACGTTTAATGTGTACAATTCAGTGGTTTAGTACATTCACAGAATTGTAAAAATTGATACCTGATTTTTAAAAAACTAATTAAATAAGCAACTCTTGAGATGCTTGAATGAGAAGCACTCCTAGGCCAATGAGCATCATTAATATTCGCTCTGTTCTTCTCTCTCCTTCATCAGAAATGTGTGTTATACTGGCCCGAAAAGAGAGGGATTTATGGAAAAGTCGAGGTTCTGGTTATCAATGTCAATGAATGTGAAAACTACACTGTTCGGAACCTCGTCTTAAAGGTAAGATTACATGGCTATAGCTACCTACAAAGTAGATGATATTAGAAGATAACGTTTATACTTTGAAATTATTATCCTAATAAGTGCTACAGATTTAACTTAAACCAATTAAATACTGTCAAGATGAAAGAGAAATTATAATCATCCCCTCATGTATTTCTTTGTTGCCATACTACAATTAAGTATGGAATAATTAAATAAGTACATATTAAGGAAATTCACTAACTAGGATGTTATTATCTCATTTGCATAAAAAAGAAATCTCTTGATTTAACCCTTTGAATGCCTTTAGCTGAAAGTTTGCTCTAGAGGCTTTGCCATGATGTTTTTCAGTGTCACTTGGGCTTGTGCAGCTTTAAGTAAGCCTTGGAGACTCTAAGAGAGAAAATCTGTGCCTGTGGGTGGCTGTGGGAGGCACGACACGCCTGAAGTGTTGGTGAGATCTTCCACACTCGGAGCTACAGTAATTTATAGGGACTTTCCCCAGACCAGATTACATCATAGGAAAATTATCTATTTCTCTTGCGGGCAGCAAATGCTGAGGAATGTTGCCATGGTATTGTTTCTGATTCCAGAGAACAATCATCTCACAGGTTTCAGTCCCATCTAGACCCTCACTGCCAGGACACAGTCATCACAGAGAGAGCAGGGGCAGGGCTGCTCTCATGGTTTGTAAGGAGAAGCTCAGGGTAGGAAGGTACCTACCAAAACCTGTTTTTAAAGATATGTCCCAAATGCCTAGATCGTGTCAGGACCCCACATGGACCCTCCCTTATAGCATTTCTAACCAGTGACCTCTGGGCCTCTGGATTACTGGAATTTCTCGCTGCTGTTTAAAAAACGGAATTCGGGATGAGTATAGAAGTATTGTAGTGATTGCATGTAACAGTGTGTTTTTATATTGGTTAATATGTTTGTAGTAACCTGTCAGGAAAGTTCAAAGAGCAAGAAACACACTATCTCCAAATTTATTCTTTCTTTCTTTCTTTCTTTTTTTCTTTCTTTCTTTCTTTCTTTCTTTCTTTCTTTCTTTCTTTCTTTCTTTCTTTCTTTTTTTCCTCCCAATTCTTTCCCGGCTACTTTTCATCTACCATTTTGTTTATTATAGTAAATTACAAACATAGATTTAGCCTATGTTACATATTACTTTCTATACTAAATATATATTTTTATTTATTTTTTCTGCTTTATTTTCTTTTTAAAAATTTTTAATTAAATTTATTGGGGTGACATGGCTTAATAAAATTATAAAGATTTCACATGTACATCATATGTGTATCATTGTGTATCATTTAATAGAAGCAAGACTGTCAAACTTTGATATCAGGATATTTACAGTAACGTTTTCTCAAGGTGAAGGGTTGTTCTTTAAAAATTACCTAGAGCCCTGGCTGGTGTTGCTAAGATGTTACAACATCAGCCTGAACATGAAAGGGTTGCAGGTTCGATACCTGGTTTGGTGCATTCAGGAGTAACCAATCGATGTATCTCTCTCATATTGGTGTTTTCTCTGTGTCTTTCTCACTCTCTCTCTCCCTCTCCCTTCTTCCCTTCCACTCTCTCTAAAAACCAATGCAAAAAATATCCTCAGGTGAGGATTAACACACACACACACACACACACACACACACACACACACACACACAATTTACTACCTAGAAACAAGTTGAGAGCAAGATGGGAATGAGAGAAGGCATGCAGTATTGTGGTTTGGATGACTTTTAGTTACACAAGTAAATGAGACACTTGGTGGCTGTTGCTATTTTCAGCAAGGAAGTCACACCCAACATGTGAAGCATTACTGGTACACCTCATGGCCGGATCACAAGACTCCAGACAGTGCCCAGCCCCTTCTACAACTCATGCTGGATGTGGAAGAAGACAGACTTGCTTCCGCAGGCCGAGGGCCTGTGGTTGTCCACTGCAGGTAAGGCACGAACTATCTTGTCCGCCTAAGCAAACAGTCCATCCTTTGTAAAGTCGCAGAGTAGATAGAAGTTGGGTTTTCCTTCTTAGTTGTCAGTAAATTAAATACTTATTGAAATTGGTTAACTTCCTCATATTTGAGTCTTGATCAAGATGATGTTTACAATGCAATATTAGGGCATTTTCAGCAAGCAATTATACAGTGGAAGAAATACCACTTCTGGCTAATTCAGTCCTCTACCTTGAAACTTACTTTTATTCGTTTCATCAGTATAATATACACTAGGAATTAACTATTAGTGGCTTTTTTTTGTTGCTTCAAGATGGCACCTGAACTATACTTGAATTTTATCTTGGTAACATTTATTATTTCACACTTAGTCAGTTAACTATTTTAAAAATTATTTCATGAAAAACATATGGAAATAAATTATTAAGAGGAAAACAAGCCCAGCCGGCATGGCTCAGAAGGTGAATGACTACCTATGAACCAGAGGGTCCCTGGTTCGATTCTTCATCAGGGCATAACACAATCTCCAGAAGTGGGTGGGCAAGAGTCAGCCAATCAATGATTTTCTCTCATTGATGTTTCTCTCTCTCTCTCTCTCTCTCTCTCTCTTTCTCTCTCCCTCCCTCCCTCTCTGAAATCAATAAAATTATATTTTTTTGAAAAGGAAAGCAAAGTGCTGTTACTAGAACATGGGCTAGCAGAGGTTAAGGCGATAAAAGCAACAGATGCCACCAGCATAGGTCCTCTTCCCTCAAAGCTCTTCTCTCACAATGGATCCTCATCCTCCTTGTTTTCCTTTTAATGTGCCACCCCCCCCCCAAAAAAAGCAACTATTTTTAAAGGTATCTCAATAACTAGTCACTTATTCTTCATACTCTCTCAAAATACTGTAATTTTTGTTGCTTCATTTAATGTCATGAGTCTTATAAGATAACTTTAGATGATATCTTTAATAAACAAAATACATTATTTTAGATCAGAGGTGGGCAACCTTTTTTCTGCCAAGGGCTATTTGGATATTCGTAACGTTATTCATGGGCCACACAAAATTATCAACTTAAAAATCAGCCTGCTATATTTGATCATACATTTCATTAACTCGCCCCTAATGCCTTGGCAGGGCTGGACCAAATGATTTTGATGGCCTTATACAGCCCATGGGCCGGATGTTCCCCATCTCTGTTTCAGATGATAATTTTAGCCTCGTTCTTTTTTGAACTTTTGTGGTTTAATTAAGAGTAAAATGTACTATATGTCTACTTATTCAAAAGCATCATTATTCAGTTTTTAGCATTAAGCTTTATCCTAAACTTAGCTAGGGGCTGAGAAAAAATAACCTAATTGGCCATCCTTTAGGCTGGAACTGTCCCCAACCCAAAATCATAAAACACTGAAGATATACAAAATGAACTAGTTACTGCTCCAGCAAAAATGAGCTCCCCTTCTGATTAGTATTTCTAAGAACGAGACCATCTTTCTTCCAGGCATTCAACCTCTAACACTGACAGTTATCTTTGGCCTTTCTCTTAATTCCAGCCTCAGTATCTAATCAGTCATTTGATTGGCTTTCCCTTCAAAGCTTCAATAATCTTCACTTCCTGTCCAAACACCCAAGTTCAGGCCCTTATGATCTCATTCGTATATTTTAGAAATAGTCAGCTAATTGCACACACACACACCCCATTTCCCCAGGTCCATACTCAGTATAGCCTCCCCAAAGCACTTCTCTTTGATGATGCTCCTAAAACCCTCTTACATCACATGCATTCCCTGCTCAGAACTTCTCAATGGCTTCCCATTGCCTAGAACAAAAATTCCTAATCTTGGGTTTATGCATGAGCTAAAGGAGTCAAGGAACTCCTTGAAATTACTTTCACAAATCTGAGTACCTAATGTTATGTTAGTTTTTCTGGAAAGTGAAATTTCCTAGTTTTCATCAAATTCTAAAATATAAAGAAGTTTTAGAAGATAAAGTCCAAACTTCTTAGCTTTCCAAGTGAGACCTATTAAAGGTACCTTCCCACTCTTCTTTCTTATTATCTCTCTCAAACAATTCTCTCTTCAAGCCAAACTTAACCTACTCATTGTTGCACATCATATAACTGTTCTGCAGCAATTCTTTCCTTAAACCCTTCTCATGCCTGGAATATTTTCTCTCATTCATGATAACCAAAATGCCTGCCATTCATATGGTACAGTTCAAATCCTCTATCTTTAATGAAACAAACTCTCAATAGACACTTCAACTTAAAAGGGGCCCATTCTATTTTAGAATTCCTTTGCACTCACAATCACAGAAACAAGTTCTAAAGAGGAGAACGTAAATGCTATTTGAGTGCCAAGAGGGTAGCTATTAATTCAAACTAGGAAGTTTAAGGAAAACTTCTAAACATTGGAATAATGTTGAACAGAATCTTTAAAAATGACCAATGTTTGTGGTTTTAAAAGGTGGTAGATAGGGCATTTTTTTCACTGAAGAAATATCAACATCAACACAGAAAGGAAAATTGGAAAACGAAAGGCTCTTTCTTTTCTTTTCTTTTTCTTTTCTTTTTTTTTTTTTTTTGCAATGATTTATGTAAATGAAAAAATGGCACAAAGGGTACAAGGACTACAATAAAATAAAATAAAAAACATTAAGCTTGAAAATGAGTCACATTTGTATTATTCAAGGTCATGAATACCATAGTAGGGAGCTTAGATGTTGTGCTATAACTATTGGGAGCCATCTACAGTTTTGAGTAGAGTAATATGATCCAGTCCCTAGCAGCTGTGTGTATTGTGAATTAGTCCAGGAAAAGGCTGGAGACTTGGAAACCATAATGAGATCATTGCTCATCATGAAGTACGATGTCAAAAATGTGAGTGCAGTCTATAGAAAGGAAAAAATGGATCACAAAGCTCAGTAAAGGTGGAAAATACAGGTATTGGTAACAGATTGAATGTGGGAGGTGAGGGGGGAGATGTTGAGAATGTCTCCAAGTTTCACAGCTGGAAAACTTGGGGCTGACTGGTAACTCCATTGAGGGAAAATATAACTGACTGTTTAGATACACTGAGATTAAACGAGTGCAAAATAGTAACATCCGGAATCCGAACTAGGAGATGGAATGCCAATATAGAGTTTAGGAGAAACTTGGGAAATTTAAGTGTAAATTTAAAAGAAATTTACATAAAGACCATTAGTGGTTGAAATTGCTGAGAAAGAGAGAGAGAGAGAGAGGCGGAGGGGGGGCGGTTGTTAGGTTGATGACATACTAGCTAAGACAGAAACACGTATAAACTCTCTGGATGGTAGTGTTTCTTTCTTTTTTTTTTTTTTTAATATATTTTATTGATTTTGTACAGAGAGGAAGGGAGAGAAATAGAGAGTTAGAAACATCGATGAGAGAGTCATCAATCAGCTGCCTCTTGCACACCCCCTACTGGGGATATGCCCGCAACCAAGGTACATGCCCTTGACCAGAATCGAACCCGGGACCTTTCAGTCCCCAAGCTGACGCTCTATCCATTGAGCCAAACCAGTCCTGGCTGGATGGTAGTGTTTCTATCCAACTATAAATGACTTAGAAATATGTGCCTCTAGCACCTCCTCTCTCCTAATTGTATTTTCAGTTATTCATGAGAATCTTTACCATCAGTATATCCAAGAGCAAACTCAAATTAGTCCTCATTCCAGAATTCCACCTTTGTCTCAGTGGACTACCATTCTTCCAATCCTGGTCATCTTTGACTTTTTACTTTTCTGACTGTTCAAATCCAGTCTTTCAGACTCACATTTGTGACATGTCTAAGTCTCTTCCCTCCTTTTTAGTGCCCATACCTTACCTAAATCCAGACCCTGATGATTATTATTCTTTGTAGACCAATTACAATGCATTTTTCACTCTTCTCCTCACCCAACACCTCCCTCCACCCAACTCATCTTACCGCATATAGCTAACGGAGATTAGAATGTGTGTAAGCACTTAGCTCAGAGCCCAGGTTGTAATGCTCAGTCTATGAGAGCTGTTGTTGCTATTGCTATTCATCCCAGCTGCTGTTTCAAATTTAAAGGTACCTTTTTAAAAATATTTTTTATCTTTGCTGTTTTTCTTCCACCTTTTTATTCTTTGTCCTTTCTTTTCAGTGCAGGGATAGGTAGAACAGGGTGTTTTATTGCTACATCCATTGGCTGTCAACAGTTGAAAGAAGAAGGAGTTGTGGATCCGCTAAGCATTGTCTGCCAGCTTCGGGTAGACAGGTGAGTGTCTGTGGGATTGGGTATAGAGATCAGAGCATCATTACCTGTCAAAGCCTGCTCTGACCAGCCTGACTTTGCAAATATCAAAGGCGCCAAAGTTCTAAATCTCTGTAGTGATTTGTGTAAAGTGCTTAAGAATATACATTATATTCAAAAGCCATCAAAGAAAGTGTTATTGGCAATTCTAGCCATCAGGAGTCCAAAACCAGCCTGGCTAGGTGGCTCGTTGATTGAGTATCATCCTGTGCACTGAAAGGTTGCTGGTTTGATTCCTGGTCATGGAACATACCTGGGTTTTGGGTTTAATCCAAGCACATATAGAAGGCAACGAATTAATGTTTCTCTCTCTCTTAGAGCCTGTATCTCTCAGCTCTAAGCATGGAGAGAAAGAAAAAGAGAGAGAGAGAGAGAGAGAGAGAGAGAGAGAGAGAGAGAGAGAGAGAGAGAGAAAGAGAGAGAGAGAGAGAGAGAGAGAGAGAGAGAGAGAGAGAGAGAGAGAGAGAGAGAGAGAAACAAGACCAAAAGCTTATGCCTAATCCCTCTTTGTCTCTAATGCAGGTTATTTGTGGTGGTAACTGTTCCTTCTTAGTCTTCCAGCCCCATTCCTTACATACTCTGTATTTTCATTTGACTTAGCTGAATTACTCATTTTAGGCTCCAAAGTCCTCCTGTTGATCCTTTAAAATGAGGTATATGTCATACTACCAAGAGCCCCCCTTTTTTAATAGTGAAAAATATGCATAAAATTTACCATCTGATAAATTTGGGGTGACTTCTTGGTGGGTATAAGGTGAAACAATCATTTTTATACATAGATCACTTTTGTGATGATCCCCACTTATGTGTTGAAAACAGAACAAAAAAGAACTTTCTTCCTTTCACCCCAGTAAAGCCTACCTGGGTAGGTGAATGGTTGAGCCGGTGATGGAGACCGTGTGCAGGTGCTCCTTGAGAACAGACACCGACAGAAGGATGTGGTACCAGCACATGAGCAGCCGACCTCTCGCTCTGTGCACTTCAGTGTGCTGTAGGGCAGTGGTCGGCAAACTGCGGCTCGCAAGTCACATGCAGCTCTTTGGCCCCTTGAGTATGGCTCTTCCACAAAATACCACGTGTGGGTTGTGCACGTACAGTGCGATTGAAACTTCATAGCCCATGCGCAGAAGTTGGTTTTCAGCTCTCAAAAGAAATTTCCGTCATTGTACTGTTGATATTTGGCTCTGTTGACTAATGAGTTTGCTGACCACTGCTTTAGGGGAAGAAGAGCTGTTCTGAAAGGCTGAAATACTGGGCTCTCTTCTTCCATTCATACAGCGAATACGGATTACTCACCTCCTGCCCAAGGTGTTGTTCCAGATGCTGCCAGTGCAGCATTGGATGGGCTGAGTGAGATTCTACTGTCCTCCAGTTTACATGCTAACAGAGAGAGAGGAGATAATAAACAAGCTAAGAAATAAACAGGATAATTTCAGACAAAAATAAAACTGAGCGGTAATAAAAAGGAGAGAGAGGAAGATTTTGCTCTGTGACCTGGAGTGTTCTAGAAGTAAAATTAGAGTCACCTTTAAAGATTTATTTGATAAATATTTATCAAGCACCTAGGTCCTAGGATTTCAGTAAGAGACAAAGATTTTTTCCTAAAATTTAATGAAATAATATTTATAAAGCACTTCGAACAGTCTGGCACACCATAAGCCTTAAGTACATGAAAACTGGGTTATTATTGTTTCCATTATTATTAAAATTATCAATGAATTTTCTCCTATCTCTAAAAATGAAACATTCAAATCCACTTCGTGGATGAAGTTTTCCCTCTCTATTTCTATCTGTCCTTGACCCGTTTTAAGTAATAATTTCTAAATCTTGTAAGTGTGCCTTCCCTCTATTTTTCTCTCAACTTTGGCTTATTAGAGGCTGCTCAATATAGTGGTTATGATTCTAGGCTCTGGAGACAGATTGCCTGGGTTTGCATTATGGTTCCTATCACTTTCTGATTGTGTGGCCTTGGGCAAGTTATAGGACTTCAGTGTGCCTTGGTTTTCTCACTTGCAAAATAGAAGTAATAATAACTTCTACTTCCTATATTTGTTGAAGGATTAAGAGAGAATTTTCAAAGTACCTTTTACATATTAAGTGTGCTGCCAAGTTTAGCCATGGCTATTGTCAGTATCTATAGCAAGAAACCTGACCGGAACTAATAATCTATATCCCACAGGGTTGCGGTGACATTAAAATGGATTACACCTGTGAGGCACTTTGTTGAACACAATTTTAAAAAGAGAGAAATATCAATTTGTTGTTCCATTTATTTATGCATTCATTGCATAAATCGATTCTTGTATGTGCTCTGGCCAGGCTGGAACCTGCAACTGAGCTACCCCACCAGGGCTAATGTTTTCTTTTTGTACCTGAGAAGATCAATCCATTCCTCTCCCTCTCTTCTTACAATTGTTCTTTTAGTCTCCCTCGCTCCCCTTGCCTCCATCAGTACTGTCCACGCTAGCTCCAATAGAATCTGGTGCCTTCACGTCAGACTCTGGGACCTACCTTCACCCAGAAGAGGGCCCCTCATCAGAAAGTAAGGGATAGCGTCCCATCAGCCGGAGCTGCTCCCACAATGGCCTTGACCTCTCCTGCTTTGTGCTTCTGTAAAGAAGACTCCTGCTTGGGAACCAAAACCCCCCAGGTGCTCCAGTTGATATCCCTGTGCCCTGCTTTCCTGCTGGTGAATGCTAGAATTCCATGAACACCAGATCTAAACAGACTCTGAACCAAGTTGGCCAACACCTGCTCTGACTCTATTTGGAACAACATCCTAAAAAGCACTGGGCATGGTTTACACTTTTTTTAAAAAAAAAAAAATCTTGTCTATTCGCCCTCCCATCAACCACCTCCCTCACCTGCTTTTGTAGCCTAACCTCCACTTTGGTTTCCACTTCCCAGTCACCGCAATTTGTCAGGCCTACCAAATTGTCCTCTCATTTTAAATGGAATCATAAATACTTTTTTTTTTAATCATATCACAATGCCTCCTCTATCTGCTCCTTCCTTCCTAAAGCAAATGGTCAGAAAACTTAGCCTTGGCCTTCCATCACGACCAAGTTTTTTCCCACAAGCTTGTCCTTTCTCTTCTGATAGGACCTTCAAAACATAGCCAACTTCTCTGCTGATCTGAAGCCCTGGACTCCCACCCCCTTGGATTTGAACTCCTGCCAGTACATGTCTCGAAGTCATTCTGATTTATTCATCAACATCCCTTCTACATAAAATTCTTTCTGAGCAGCTGTTGTTTATCAAACAGATCCTCTCCTTTAAACTTTCCTTGAAAGCTTTTTCTTTTTCCTTCCTTCCTTCCTTCACAGGATCAGCATCAGTTTTCCTTTGTTGTCCCTTCCGTCTGTGGTACACTCTTGTGGCCACTGTGAAAAGGGATACAAAAAACCTCCCACCTTTCCTTCACCCCATCCAACCTCTTGTTCCCCCATCCTTCTTGCTTCTTGCGTTGAGCTTTTTCCTGTCATACCTTATTTTAAAAATATCCGTGCTGGCTGGCTGCTGCCACTGACCATGTCTTTAACGCATGACTGGAAAGGCAGAGATGGTCCCCTTCTGCTCTTGCAGCTTTTCGTCCTTCATCAGTTCTTCAAAGCTCGTCCCCAACCTAAACTCCTCAGTCATCCATCCTTGCCCTCAGTTCTGGATCTGCCTTCAGACATTCCAGAAAGCACTCTTCGTACTCAGAAGAGTATTTGATCTTGGCCTTTTGTTGTGGTCTTCAAAGCACATCTCCTTTAACTCCCAGAGTGAACCCCCCAGTAGGAAAAGAGATATTCTTGGGCTCCTTTAAAAAAAAAAAATGAGGTGTGTCAAGTAAGTTGCCCAAGGTCATAGTGCTTAGAAAATGGCAACATAGTCTTCTTTGGAATTCAGGACTTCTGACTCAAAGGTGTGACTGTCATAGTGATAGTAATCGGGCTTTTGGAATGTGTGTATTGTAAAACTGCTTGAAAACACACACACATATCTCTTTGGTAATGCTTTGCCAGTTTTTAAAAATGCAATGACACCATAATTTTTAAAACAATGGCTAATATGAATGAGAACTGTTTCACAAGTAGAGTGATGCTGTAAGAGTATAATTTTTTTTAATTGAGCATCTTTTCATATGGACATTCATATGTCTTCTTTCTTTCCCTGCTTCCAATATTTATTTATTCATTTATTTTGAATACAGTTGATGCCCAATCGTATATTAATTTCAGGTGTACATCACAGTGGTTAGACATTTATGTAACTTACAAAGTGATCCTCCACCTGACATCATGCATCATTATTACAATATCATTGACTATATTCTTTATGTTGTAATTTACATCCCCGTGACTATTTTGCAACTACCAATTTGTGCTTAATACTCTGGTTTCTCTTCTGAACATATAAATCTTTTGTCTTAAGACTATAATTTGAGGGATATAGGAAAGTTGCCTCATCTCAAAATCTCTACATAGGGAGGATGCCAAAAATATCTGTGTAAGGTCAACATCTACCTTCCTGCTAATTAGAGAGCAGTCCTTGGCTAAGAGAATCCTTGCTCTTTAAAGTCCACTTAACCTAGAGATGGGAGTTGAGGGTGACCCTTTATACCTTCTCAGCTATTCACACTTTCATGTAAACAAAATAATCTATTCTTTCCAGCGCGGCAGCTAGAGAGAGTATAGCTGCCTGCATCGTCAGTACATCCAGAACATGGGTTTTCATGAAGGGGAAGTGAAGAGAAGGCTCCAGAAGCTGGGTGATCCTGAGGCCCTGCAGTCGAGGAGACTGCAGACAACGCTGGTCACTGGGAGCCGGAGGGGCCCAGGAAGGGAGCAGACGAGCTCTAGCAAGGGACACATTGCAAAGGGCAGCTACCTCACTAGGGAGACCCAGGACCATAAAAGTATTATCTATTTCTAGACGGTGACAGCAGAGCATTACCCTGCCCACAGGGTCCTTCCCAG